CCTGCTGCTTCATGAGGAGATGGAGAACAGCTATGCTGAACGAGGGGCCCAATTCTCTGAGCTAGAATTTATGTCTTTGATGAATTGAGGACAAGAAGCTGTGCATGTTAAGCAGGAGGAAGAGCAGCTGAGAGCTTCAGGGAGGAGCTGAGCTGTTACTGAACTATAGAAGAGACACAAACTTCCACATTCAACACAGTTCAAACATTAACTCTGATCATCATGCTGTCTTTGCTCACATCTGGATTTACTCTGCTGGTTCTGCTCATAGGAACAGGTTAGTTGGAGTCTTTCAGAGAACTATTTAAACCTTGTTGTTCTTCACTCATGAGTGTTTGTTTTTCATTCAGGTGTAAAATGTCAAAAAGTCACTGCAGCAAAGACTGAGGAGTTCACTTTAGAGGGCGGCTCTGTTACTCTGTCCTGCACTTACAACAAAGGTTCCACTGATTTTTTGTTTTGGTATCGACAATATCCTGGAAAAAATCTAGAGTTCCTGAAGTCCCACTTACCTTCAGGTGGAATAGAATATCTGGACAGAATGAAATTTGAAGGAAACAAGGAAGAAATGAATATGACCATCTCCTCTGCTGAGCAGACTGACTCTGCTGTTTACTACTGTGCTGTGAGGCCCACAGTGACAGGAAACACCAGAACTCTGTACAAGAACCTGCAATACTCCACTACATCCACTAGAGGGCCTCACACACTGTCATTCAGCTGCTCTTAGATTCTTTCCTTTTTACTGATTCTGTTATCACCAGTCAGATGAATCTCTGTTTAATGAGTCACTTCAAAGAAACTGAATGTTTCTGCAAAGACTCTCTGTATGGTTTGATAACAAGTTATGTTAAAAAAAGAAAAAGGTTTTAAGGTGAAACTATTTCTTAAAAATATTATGGGGTCATTAATGTTTACGAGTTAAATAGATGTATATTCAGTTTTTTTTATCAGTAAATGGATGAAATATTGATTCCAAACATTGGTTACCATAACGACAATGTGATATCATTTATAATATCCATTATTTTGCTAAAGCTAGAGCTAGCAGCGAAACGGCCAGTGACTGAGCTATGGCATTAGCAGCAGCAGAGACCAAACCATTACCCGGCTCCTTCCTGCGTACTGCCCCAGATTCTAACCCTTGTGTCCAGTCCAGTTCCAGTACACCCAGTGCTTCTTGTTTTTGTAAGAAAACATGCTCATTTTGCCCAGGCTGCTATCAAGGGGAAACAATCTCTTTAAAATTCTGCAAAACTTGATGCTTGCTCTTGATTCACAACTAGTTTCACATTTTCACTAATGAGGGGTATAATAATTGGAAAACAAATTGGAAATGGACCAGGGACAAAGCACACATCATGTCAACGCAACTTAAAAATGGTCTAAAATGTCCCACAGAGTGGCCACAGGCGGAAACCATTGGAAATCTGTTAGGGCCCACATGTATTAGAAAAAATAGATATCATATTAAACAATTAAAGAAGTAGTTTGTTTCCTAGCAGTAAATTAACTGTTTATCCCCTTCCACCTCACAATGCCACATGAAAAGAAGTGTAGTTATTTTTGCTCATGCTATGGATGCATTTGTTCGGACTTTTGCACATAAAAAGCCAATAACTAATGTTAATGACTGATATGAGCCCAGCTGTGTAGAAGCAATAAGAAATAAAAATATCAAAACCGTTCATTTATCATGTCTGCAGATGATCTCGCTCTCCAAATGGAATTGAATGAATCAGATTAGCTAGCCGAATGAATATAAGGGGTAGAGAGTAGCCGCCTGTGGCCCGGGCTTCCTGTCACAACTCCAGTCCGCCGCGCGGATGACTTCATACACACTCCGCTTTGTTTTTAAATGATATAAATATAAAAAATATAACCGCCAGTTATATCCACATTAACATGAATTCAACAGACTGTAATAAACAAATAAATGGAGGCAGAAGATGTCTTTCAGTCATCAATGCACAGATTCAGCGACATACAGGAGCTCTTTCAAGCTGGGCACCGTTTCATTCACAACACCTGTCCCATCAACCAGGAAGCAGAAATACTTTAATAATCCCAGGGATAAATGACTTTAGTTACATAACTCAATATGTAATAGAGTGACTATAGGACCTGTTTGATTTAACACAATTTCATACAATATATACAGCATATAATTAGGGGGTCCCTGCTCCGTCTCACCATCACTTTGGGGGTCCTTAGCCTGAAAACGTCGAAGACCCCTGATCTAAAGGATTTTACTGACACAAAAATGTTTACTGCCTCTATTTCTTCACATTCTTACTTCATTTAACTAACTTGGTTTACCTCCACAAGCAAAGGAACTGTTGCCTCAGTGGTAGAGATAGATCTTAGAGATAGAGTAACAATCTAACTGCATTCTCTTTTTAGATATAAGATGGTATGTGGAATTCTATTGGTTTCTGTTCTGCTGACCTGTGATGACGAATGATTACCTGCATATGTTTGGCCATCTGGTGTGGACATATACTGAAAGGTACAATATGTCCACACCCAAAAGTCCTGCATCCACAATACGTGGATGCAGGACTTTTGGCCTCATTGACCTTGAGAGGACATAGATTTAGGGAAAACTTAAAGTTGGGGCCATATTATGTGCACTCACTGAGAGCAACGCTGAGGGGTCCAGGCCTTAGGTAGCATTGATTCTCTGCATTGTCTGCTCATTGCCATATATTTCTGTTATAGACTGGGCCTTCAAACAAAGGTTTTAACTGCCAACACGTCTGTGTGAAGAACTACCAGATGTTTTAATGAATCTCTAAAACCTGTATTTTCTTTTGGGTTTCCTGTAAGTTTTCAAGGTTTGGATTAGAAATATTTCAATATTAACCCGTCATTGACCGCAACGTGTTGCACATCTTAGACAGCCTTGAAAAATAGTAAAAATGACTGTAAAGAGGAGAGAACAGTCCATGGTGGGGGTGTGAGGGGTCATTGATGATGTTACAGGCTCGGGACACGCAGTGCTGGGATGAAATGTCTTTTATGGAGGGAAGAGGAGCCCTGATGACCTTCTCTGCTTTTCTAACCACTCTCCTTGCTTTTTTCCAGTCAAAGGCATTGCAGCCTCCTCACCACACAGTGGGACAGCTGGTCAGAACGCTCTCTATGGTGCTTCTGGAGAAGGTGGTGAGGATGGGTGGGGGCAGGTCTCCTCATTCTCCGCAAGAAGTGCATGCACCTGTGTGCCATTTTGACCAGTGAGGTGGTGTTTACATTCCAGGAGGAAGGCTCAGAGAGACAAGCTGGAGGAAGTCAAACGAGGTGAGACTAGGACCCAGCAAACAAGAACTGAAGAGGGAGAGCATTTAAAGGAGACTGAGACAAAGAGAAGACTAATGAGCAGATTGGGAACAGGTGAGCACAGGGCAGGAGAGGAAAAGAGATAGGGAAAAAAGAGAACACAAGAGGGCAGCAGAGGGGAACAAATAAAAAAAAAACTAGAAGACTGGAAATAACTAGAAAACACAACAAAATAATAATTAAACCACAAAGAATATAAAACATGGAGCAAAGCAAAACTGGAAACTCAAAAGAAAACATAACAGAGCCAAGACTGAAACAGTAACTAAGAATGAACAGAGAACACAGCAAAAATAAAAATAAAACCACTAAAACTAGAAAACAAGGAGAAAAGCAAAGCTGAACACTAAAAAGAAAATATAACAGAACGAAGAATGAGAATTATACTTTTGAAACACAATTTTTCACAATATGTTTTCTTCTTCCTGTTTCTCCTAGTTTATCTGTTATTATTGACTTAGTGAAATAATCAAATCCGATCATATTTAGTCATTTCCACTATTGGGAATATTACTTTTATTAAGCAGTTGTAGTTTTACATTTAGCTGTGAGTCAGTCTTCAAACATTAAACTTCTAATTGTAATATGTATATAACAGTAATGTATTATGTAATCTTTTTTCTATTTCATTAGTCTTTAGTGTTTTATTTCCTTTGTTGTTTTTTTTTTTTTTCGTTTTGTAGATCCCATACCATCTTGTATACAAAGAAGACCCCTAAGTTCCAAGAGACAGGTCGACCTGATGAGCCGTTCAAACAGAAACAAAATGTGTAGCAGTGGACCAATCCAATAGAGCTGACATCAGACTTAGGGAACAAAAAAAATCTAAATGACCTAAACCTGTGGAAAAATAATGAAGAGAGTACAGTCAGTCCAGCTTTATGTGGCACTAAAAAGGCATGGCCAGGTATGGGAGCAGGAAGGAACTGGAGCGGGTTTGCCTTAGGATCCTATGGTTTTGCTCAATAAGAATAACAAAAGAAGCCAAAATAATCGCAAAAAAAGATAAACAAATATATAAATATAATAAAAAGCAGAACACACCATGCACTTGAAACAATATAAAATAACAATCGGAGACTGTAGTTTAAGGAATTTAACGTTAATAAAAGTAATTAATCAAATTAGTCTGTAACTGGAAAAGAGTCCTCTTCTTTTCTGTAATGTTTTAATATCACTGGTCATTTCTGTGTCACTTACTTTAAAAGAATATCAAAAAGTTTATTTTTTTTTTATTAAAGTCATTAAAAACTAATGGCTGATTCACAATCAAATGAGAGACTATTCCACTTCTTATAAATGATAAGAATGATCCCTCATAGATCTGAGAGGAGAAACAGTCTGAAATCAGAGCAGAGAAAGACCCCCACTGTCAGAGGAATTCAAGAACCAAAGCAGACAGAACAGATGTTGTGAGGAAGATGATGTCACTGCATCTCTGTGACACGTTTCCTCTGTTTGTCATCACTCTAAAATGGAGCTGAAAGCAAGAAGAATGAAGAACTTTGAAAAATGTGTTTGATCCACTAACAAGCTGCTGGAAGCCTTTTGCTTTATTGTTCATTGACACCTTCTAGCTCCACCAGAGGGCGCCATCATCCAGTAGGCGGAGCTCTCCTTGTGCTCTGTGTTCCAGCATTGTGTCAATTATAAGTGTTGCTGTGAAGAGAACAATAGTCAGACTGAATGTTGAACATCAGCTAGTTTCTCCTGCTGATTTAAACCTTGTTGGACAGATGGAACATTGGCTGTGGATTATTCTAGCTGCTCTTTTCTTTGGTAAGATAGAAAGCTCAACATGTTTCCTCTTCAAACACTTGAACACATTACTGAGCTCTACATGAAGAGCTTTAATGTTCATTCTACAGAAAATCAGAGCAGATCATTTCTGCTGCCATTTGTTACCTTGTAGAAACACCTGATATGGTTCAAAGTGACAATGATCAGAGAAAATGACATCTATTCTACATGGAATAGAAGTCTTTAAAGCTGCTGATTGTTCTCCTTTAATCAATCATCTTTATTGATTCATCTCTTCCTCTGCATGTTCTGTTCTTCCTCAGAGTGTAAAGGAGACTCAGTGACGCAGACAGAAGGACATGTTGCTGCTGCTCAAGGAGAATCTGTGACTCTTGGATGTATTTTTGAAACCAGTGCTTCATATCCATATCTTTTCTGGTACCAGCAAAAGGAAGGCAGTTCTCCAACCTATATGCTGAAGCGTTACCCAGGAACTGCAGAGAATGATCCAAAGTTCAGCACAGACCGATTTAATGCTGATCTCAACACAAAGAAACAAAAGAAATCAGTAAATCTGACGATCCAGGATCTCCGTCTGTCAGACTCTGCTGTGTACTACTGTGCTCTGAGGCCCACAGTGACAGGAAACACCAGAACTCTGTACAAGAACCTGCAATACTCCACAACATCCACTAGAGGGCCTCACACACTGTTCCTCCTCTATGGTTTGTTAGGATTCAGTCTGATTGTTTGTGCAGCTGAGAATAAAGCAGACATCAGAGTGTTTGCTGCATCATTGAACTCTTTATGATGAGAAGGTTTGGGTCATAAAGGAGGGATGATGGAGGCTCCAGGATGGAAGTGCAGCCTCTGCAGGATATCAGCACCATGGACAGAGTGCTGTTCCACCATCTAGAGGTGTTACTAAAAAACTTTGCCTTCAAGTCACTGAAAGTCTATACAGTGACGCATGTCAAGAGGCTATAATCTCATGATGCATTCAGGTAGATTAGATGATGCATTTAAGTTCATTTTATTCACTAAAACAGTTTTACTGTCATCAATGTCTTAATATCTGAAACCTCTTTGGCTCTCCACAACCATTATTGAGCAATTTTTCTTCTTCTTTTCTTCTTTCTGCTTGGTTTCAGGTACTTAGAGATTCACTTCCATACAGAAAGCCCACACTCTTATCTTCAGGTAACACAGTATACATGTCAGATTAAATAATACTACTTATACTTCAGGTGTTACTTTACTGTATGTCTTGCATCATGTCTGTTGGTTGTTCTGTTCTTTTTCCATCTCTTTGCAGGTGATAAAGCAGACTGAAGATGTTTTATCGTTATCTTCCTTCTATCTCCTCTTTCTTTCATCTTTTCCCTTTTTTTCTGTTTTTCCTCTTCTGTTCTATTTATATTGCAGTGTCCATATAATCTGTAAAACTCCATGCATAATTGTCGTGGGAAAAAAGTATTCGACTATTCATCCTAGTTAAATAAACATAGATCGACGGATTTCACTCAGTCGGCACATTTATTCATATCTTTGCAAAGAGAGAACAGTTCATCATACAGCCCTAATGGCACAGCATTCTGCCCTGTTCTGCTAGAGCAACATTCATTCCTCCTTACTTACAACAATGGAAAGTAGTCAGAGTCAAAACAAATTACAAACACTTTGGTTAAACAGTAACATGTTATGAATAAACCTTGAGAAAGAATGTGATTTGTTATGGGAAGAAGCTCTGTCTGCTCTACAAACACCATCCTGCAGAGAATGGTGTGGCCTTGAGAGAGAAACAGACTGATTGAAAACTTTTATAGCGAGTAAATAGGATAAATTAATATATAATTGAAGAGGAATCAAAAAATTTCCGACAACAGTTCACCCTTTCGATTATAAAAGGATATTATCCTTGCGTAATCGATATAAAAAAGGAAAATTGATGAATATAAAAAAACTAAAAGCTAAGAAACTAAAATTGTGAATATATGTAAAGAAAGTAAAAAAATAAGAAACTAAAATAAAAAATAAGAAAATATATCAAAAATGCACAGCTGCATTAAGTCAGTGGACTTAAATGATTATAATAGATGGAAAAATTATGGAAAGGATTATGATAGCTAAAATATGTTGCCAATAAATAGAGCCCTGGAATCACATCTTAGTTGGCAAAAATATTTACTGTTTTTCCCCATGATCATACCTTTATGGTAAAAGTTCTATTTGCTGAAAATTTACATTTTTAGTTCTTATAATTATCAGTTATCCTTTTTCTTTCCCTGGAAAGAGAAAAGTTCAAATCAGTCAAAACAATAGACTCCTTCATCTCTACAAACTGTAAGTCAAATTATTAATCTGAGCTTCATTAAAAGTAAAAAAAAAAGGATAAATCTCAATGCAAAATGTTAAAATCATAACACAAAGTTGTTTCACGCAGATGACGAGTTCAGCTCTTCAGAATCAGGCTCAGTCAAAGCACACATTGAAATGTTGGAGGATTTAATCTCAGCGCTCCTCTTCCCCAATGGTAGCTGAGATGACCCGATCATCAGAGTTCATTCTCTAATCCAGAAATCTCTGCCAATACTTTCTATCAGCCATCAGCTGCTCATCTAACACTTGGACTTTCTTTTTTTTATCAAGAAAAGTAATATCAAACACTTAGATACTAAAAATGTTAATCTTTGATTAAAATACAACACATCACAACACATTTCCCTTCTCATTCATGTTGTAGGATTAAAAATCAAAAAGCCAAAACTGATGTCAGACATCTTGAGGTGGGCGTCTTCATCTTTCTGTTGATGTTGGTCCCTTATACAGGCGACATTTTGAACGTTGTCTACAGAGCAGCTGGTCCTCAACACATCAGGTGGATTACTGATGTGTTAATTAACCAATCAGAGGGGATTATTCTGCCCCTTTATTCTGATTTGTTGAAGCTTTTCCTGGTTCCTTCCTGATGAGCTCAGATGAGCTCTGATCACTTCCTTTTGATGACTTTGAGCCACACCTCCTCCTGCCGAAGGATGGAAGGATGGCTGAGATGGTCCTCCATCAGGGTCTCCAGGCACCTTGGTCCGTCTGTAAAGGCGCCTCTAAGGGAAAAAAGGTCTTGTAGGTGATTTTAATGTGTCACCTGTCAGTCCCAGTCTGGCCAGAGGTCAGTGGTCTGGCCCATTCTGTGGTCCAGGAACGGGTCGACCCATCATGAGCTCATGGGGAGGAAAACTGGGAGTCAAAGTTACCAACATGCTGAATTAAAGGAGCTGAGGGAAGGACAGATCAGATTCAATTCAATTCAATTCAGTTTATTTATATAGCGCCAAATTCACAACACATGTCATCTCAAGGCACTTCACAGTTCAACCAGATCATACAGTCAAATTGATACAAAGTTTTCTATCTAAGGAAAACCAGTTGATTGCATCGACTCATTGACTCAATACAATCCCTCACACTAAGCATGCTTGTAGCGACAGTGGAGAGGAAAAACTCCCTTTAAACAGGAAGAAACCTCCAGCAGAACCAGGCTCAGTGTGAGCGGCCATCTGCCGAGGCCGACTGGGTTCAAGAAGACGGAAGCAGAGACACAAAAGCAGCTGTAAAAGGCGGCCCCGTCCAGGAAACACACAGCCAGGCAGACGAGCTCCGAGCCAGCTCCCATGTCAGAGGACGAAGAAAGCACATCCACCCAGTCACAGCACAGTTGATGTTTCTTTCCAGGATGACGTCACAGCCAAACAGGAACAGACGAGGCAAAGCTACTCTGAGGAAAAGCAGATAGAGCAGAAGGTTAGAGATTGAACTAACAGATTCTGCAGAATAGGAGAACAGAGAGAGAATGAAGCAGAATGATGAAATGGGGGTCCCTATGTCCTCCAGCAGTCTAAGCCTATAGCAGCATAACTATAGAGATAGCTCAGGATAACCTGAGCCACTCTAACTATAAGCTTTATCAAAAAGGAAAGTTTTAAGCCTAGCCTTAAAAGCAGACAGGGTGTCTCCCTCACGGACTAAAACTGGTAGTTGGTTCCACAGGAGAGGAGCCTGATAACTAAAAGATCTGCCTCCCATTCTACTTTTAGAAATTCTAGGAACCACTAGTAAACCTGCAGATTGAGAGCGAAGTGCTCTGTTAGGAACATAAGGAACAATCAGATCTCTGATATAAGATGGAGCTTGGCCATTTAAGGCTTTATATGTGAGAAGGAGGATTTTAAATTCTATTCTGGATTTAACAGGAAGCCAATGAAGAGAAGCCAGGATAGGAGAGATGTGATCTCTCTTTTTAATTTTCATCAGAACTCTGGCTGCAGCATTTTGGATCAGCTGAAGGCTTTTAACTACAGTTTGTGGACTTCCTGATAGTAAAGAATTACAATAGTCCAGCCTTGAAGTAACAAATGCATGGACTAGTTTCTCAGCATCACCCCTGGACAGGAGATTTCTAATTTTTGCAATGTTCCTCAGATGAAAGAAGGAAATTCTAGAAACCTCTTTGATATGGGATTTAAATGACAGGTCCTGATCAAAAACAACACCAAGATTTTTTACTTTATTATCTGAAATCAGTTTAATCCCATCCAAATGAAGTGACTGACCAATCAGCTTATTTTTCAAAGACTCTGGTCCAAAGACTATAACTTCTGTTTTGTCTGCATTCAGAAGCAGAAAGTTAAGAGTCATCCAGGTTTTTATGTCTTCAAGACATGCCTGTAATCTATGTAATGGGTTAGCTTCATCTGGATTTATAGACAGATATAGCTGGGTATCATCAGCATAACAGTGAAAATTAATCCCATGCTGTCTAATAATTCTACCAATTGGGAGCATGTATAAAGTAAATAGAATTGGTCCTAGCACTGATCCCTGTGGTACTCCACAGGTAACCTTTGAGCATGTTGAAGATCTATCATTAACATGAACAAACTGAAATCGATCAGATAGATAAGATTTAAACCAGTCTAATGCTGTTCCTTTAATTCCAACAAAATGTTCAAGTCTTTCTAAAAGAATATTATGGTCAACTGTATCAAATGCAGCACTAAGATCCAACAGGACGAGCACAGATACAAGTCCATTATCTGAGGCCATGAGAATATCATTAGTGACTTTCACCAGAGCTGTTTCAGTGCTATGATGAGCTCTAAAGCCAGACTGAAACTCTTCAAAAAGTTCATTATGGTGTAAGTGATCGCAAACTTGCTTGGCAACTACTTTCTCAAGAATTTTGGATAAGAAAGGAAGATTGGATATAGGTCTATAATTAACCAAGTCATCTGGGTCAAGAGACGGTTTCTTAAGCAGAGGTTTAATTACAGCAACCTTAAAAGCTTTAGGTACATATCCCTGAAACAGAGATAAATTAATCACATCTAAAATGGAGGAGGAGATCAAAGGGAATACCTCCTTAAATAACCTGGTTGGAACTGGATCTAACATACAAGTTGAAGGCTTAGATGAAGACAATAATTTTGCTAATTCAGAGAGTTCAACTGGATCAAAGCAGTCTAAACCCGGTTCAGATTCCATGACTACCTCAGGTACAATCGCGGATAGAGGAGTGCTTATGATCTTATTTTTAATAAGATCAATCTTATTTATAAAGAATCCCATAAAATCATTGCTGCTAAGAGCAGGTGGAATGGACGGTTCAACAGAGCTATGGCTCTGGGTGAGTTTGGCAACTGTATTAAAAAGAAATCTAGGATTATTCTTATTCCCCTCTATTAATGAGGAGAAGTATGCTGCTCTTGCTTTACAAAGGGTCCTCTTATACAGCAGTAAACCATTTTTCCAGACTAGGAAGGACTCCCGCAGGCCTGTGGAGCGATATTTTCTCTCCAGTTTCCTAGCATTTTGCTTCAAAGTACGCAGCTCTGCATTAAACCAAGGAGCAAGCTTTCTATTTTTAACGGTTTTCATTTTCAAAGGAGCTGCATTGTCTAAGGCAGCACGCAGAGAACTAGCAACCCCATCAACAAAATCATCAACCTGTGAAGGGGAATAAGCTATGCTTTTGCATTCTGCAGCACTGCTCAGCGACAAAGA